CATATCACCCTATTAGAGCACTTCGCTCTCGCTCTGCAGGCTTACTTGTTGTTCCTAGAGTATTTAAAAGTAGAATGGGAGGCAGAGCCTTCAGTTTTCAGGCCCCTCTTCTGTGGAACCAGCTTCCAGTTTGGATTCGGGAGACAGACACTATCTCTACTTTTAAGATTAGGATTAAAACTTTCCTTTTCTCTGTATCTATTATTGTGCGATCTACTGTACAATATAAAGCGCCTTGAGGCGACTTTTGTTGTGATTTGGCGCTATATAAATAAAATTGAATTGAATTGAAGGTCATTTTGTGTATTTTTTATTTTTACCCTCAATAATATGGCAAGCTAATGCACAAGGAGTCAGGAATTACTGACTGCTACAGAGTTGTTATAGTTAGTTTTGTATTTTCTAATTAGATTTTTTCTTCATTGAACTTTTAGTTTTTAAATTCAGTTTAGTTTAGTTATTTTCCAAAGTGGATTTCCTTGTTTCAGGTCTAGTTTTTATTTATTTATTTATTTTAATAAATGTTTAGTTTTAATTTAGTTGTTAGTGTTAGTTTTAGTCCTTTAATTATTATTGTATTAAAGGCATGTATTAGAGGCGAGATTTAGGAAAATTAGTGCAGATATTACAATAAAAACTTATGACAAACTCATAGTGTGTCATAGTATTGTAGACATCTCAATAAACATGTCTTTCGGTGACTAGCAGGCCAAGTTACCAAACTAACAGACACTAAAACTAAGGCCATTACCTCTACATTTTTTTAAAGTTTAGTTTGTTTTCACATCTAGTTTCAGTTTTTAGGTTAGTTCCAGTTGACTGTGATAAAATTGCTCTGCTAAGTCAGCCCAGGTCAAAAGTTTGGGAGACTTTTTGGAATTTTGGAGAGTTATAGAGGTAGGTAGGGTTGGGATGGTTTCACATGTGCAGACATCCCATGTCTGCACATGTGAAATATGATGAATATGAATATACTGGGTATAAGATGTTAAATATGGAGCACCCAGGCAGGAGGACAAGAGGAAGACCACAGGGAAGCTTCATGAATGTTATGAAGGAGGAAATGTATATGGGCTGGTATGACAGGATGCTGTGGGATATTAAAGGTGTCACTATGAAAATAATCATAAATAAAGTTGACGGCATCGCACTTTAAACACTTAGAAGTTCACTGAATGTTGCCTCAGACATAAATGGTTAGCCGAATTGTCTAGCAGTTCCTCACGACTCTAAAATGACCTCATATCGCGTGCTTCAAAGTCTGTACATGTCTAGAGAGGCAACGAACTATTAAATGGAGAGATTTTTATATGAAGACTGGCTCCACAGTCGCTCACCTCTTTTCGCCTTCTCTGCTTCCGACACGGTCTCAAAACCAAAATGCGTACTTCTTTCTTCGGCTGATTCGCTAAAACATCGACAGGACGGCCGAGCAGAAACCCCGGCGGCTGTAACGGTGATGTTTCTGTGAGAAAGTCGGATCGCTTGACGGACAAGCAACCTCACGGACGCCGCCATGTTGCCTGACAGTTATGTCACGGGATGTCGTCATTCGTAGGCGACAATGTAGTCTTTTTTTCTAAGTAGCAATATTACAAAAATCTAAATACGTTAGTAATAATAATAATAATAATAATAATAATAATAATAATAATAATAATAATAATAGTTTAATGCAGGTTTTGTGAAATTTTCATGTAACACAGGTGAAGGGAAACTTTTATGGTAGCTGGCCAGGCTACATTTTCTCTTTAGCTGCATTTTAGTGTCCTGTGGGGTTCTCCATGCAAATTGCTTTATTGTATAAATTGTATCAGCTAAACCTTTTTCATGGAAAGGATATTGTATCAGAGTGTGTCCTTGTAGTACAGTGTATTAAATATTTGATATTAGATATTTTTTCTCTACGATATGTTTTTGGTTACTTGCTTAAAAAAAGGATATTATTACTCAAATAAGAATCATAACTGTAGGTAAAAATCAATGATACACTCACCGGCATAGATGTGGCATAGATTCAACAAGGTGCTACAAACATTGATCGGAGATTTTGGTCCACATGATACATGATACAGCAGCATCACAAAGTTGATGCAGATTTGTTTGTTGCGCAACTATGATGTAAATCTCCTGTTGTGGTCTAAATCTAAAATATATAGAGACTGTTGATAAATATTATAAAGCTCAAGATTTTAATTTATTTGAAAGCTTGTTTTATTGTTTTTGTTTCATGACATTGTTCTGGTTAGCAAGGCCATTAGGGGGGTTTCATAGTTGACGTTATGCAATCAAACAATTACTGTGTGACCAAAATTTTAAAATAAAAAACTTTATCATAATTTCATTTCATTCACTGAGAAAATATTATTATCCAAGAAGACACAAATACGAAGAGCTGGTTCGGGTTCAGGTTTTTAGGCCTTTCTCAAAGGTCAGTTTGCCAGGGAACTAAACCTCGCAGTATCCATTCAACAGATGAATCAGTGATTTTACTAAATCTGCTTGGTTCTTCTTTTTTATTACTTTTTGTATAAATCATCAGGGGTGAAATGTAATATTTTACTTTTCTGTTGTTGCTCCTAAGTTAAGCTCTTCTTGCCTACTGTGTGTTCTGTTTTGGGATCGCTATTGTTTCTCTTATATTCATTCCTTCTTCAGCACATTTTGAGCATTTTTAAGTTTGTCTCTTATCACTGTTATGCACATGGCATTCAGTAATACATCTCTTTTAAGTCTGCAGATTTTTCAGAGGTGTTTAGACTCTATTAAAAGTGGTTGAAAATTGTCTCTAACTTAATGAGGAGAAAACAGAAGTCCTTGTTTGTGCCCCCAACAAATTTATGCAGAAAGTAATGGTGACTAGTTCATCAGGAACTTCAGAGTATGTTTTGAGTCAGCTTTCATTTTAGACACTCTGTCTCACTCTTGCTTCTATCATTTAGGGAAAATTGTTAAGTTGAGCTCAGTTGCGTCGCGCTTTGAGCTGGAAATTGGAAATCATCCTTTTATTTCATCATGTCTGGATGATTGTAATTCATTGTTCACGTCTCCTATGAAATCTTAAAGCTCGTCTGCAGGTTGTTTGTACTTACATGTCACACCTTTAAGGTGCACTGGCATCCCATTAACTTTAGAGTTCACTTTAAAATTCTGGCTTTGACTCTTAGAGGTCTCCATGGACAAACGCCAGCTTACATCATAAAACGTTACATCCTTACATGCCCAGGTCATGTGATCAGGGGCCTGCTGGCTGTGCAGCATTTAAGGCCGAGGACTAAAGGAGACAGAGCTTTTGCAGCAGTGGCCTCCCAGTATGGAACGCTCTCCCACTGAGCCTGAGTTCTGTGGATCTGTGATCTCTTTCAAAAAGCAGCTACGTATCCATTTTTTAACTTGCTTTTGGGTAAATTTATTGTTTGGATGTTCTACCACTTTTATTGTAATGCACTTTGTGAGATTTAATGTTTTAAAAAAAAAAATATGTAAAGCATTAAACAGGCCAGCATACCTGTTCATTGACATTCATGAGATAGTACTGCAGAGTGAAGTGGGTCAAACAGGCAGGTTCCTCCACGACCAGTCAACTTCTTTCACAGGGATCGTTTTCAGATCTATCAAGTGAGACAAGCTCCTTTACCCTCTAATGCTACATCCCTGCAAATTAACCTGACTTCAGTACCCTGAGTGCAGAAAGTGGCAGGTATTGTCTCCTATTCTTCTCACTTTCTCGTTCTTACAGTAACCAGACACTGTCACCTTTTGTCCCATTGTTGTCTTAATTACTGGTCGACTTGGGTTCAGAGGGATCTGCTTACTCAAGTCTCTTTTCCTTGTCTGTTGACTAGGCTGAGACTTTTCATTGGGACCCAGAGGAGCGATAATAAAGTTTAATCTGCACTACGGCTATTGGGAGAAAAAAAAACACTTTCAATGAATACATTCATCCAACAATTTTAGCAACATTTCAGATTATCTGTGGTGTAGAACGATTATTTTACACACAAGTAGCAAAAAGGATGCCGTTGGTACCAAGCATCAAGGCGAGGATCATTTAGATATCTTATCACCAGTAGAGGGAGTAAGAGGATTGTCTACAGATTGCTTTTTTGTCTGATGTATTGGAATGTTCTTGCTGATCTCCAGAGGACTTTGCATATTAAGACCATTGATAGTCTTAAAATTGCTTATTGTTATGTGCACAGGTGTTTTGCTTTAAAATTTGCTTCATTCAGAAGCCTCAGAGGAGGTTTTTCTTACTCTCAAACAATAGTCAAAAAAACAGGACAGTTCCCGTTTACCACTGAGAGAATGACTTTACCATGAAGTTGCATGCGGCTAACCACCAAATATACAATCCAGATTTCAGCAAAGCCAAGCTTTAAGCAGTTTCAAAGTGAGCAATGATGAAAGGAAAACAGAAACACCTTTCATGAATTAAGAAATCAATGCTGTAAATGTCGCAAGTGTTCCAGCTTATTAAACGCCCCTCTGTGTTCGGTTTTGTTTTTGGATTTTTCTTCCTCGCAGTGTGTTTCCAGTTGTAAAGCTGGACTCCTGCGGTTCCTTCTAAAATGTGCAGGTTGCATGCTTGACCTCATCCCACAGTGGAGCCAATGGCTCACACATGGCACTCCAAATCCTCACTCTTGCGCATGCATCTCCAAACAATCTGGGAGTCATTTCGCATATCTGATAAGTTTTGTGCTTCGTGGAAGAAAAGGCGAAGGCCTGTACACATGTCCCGAGCCTGAATCCAATCAAGGCAAGTAGACTTCAGAAAGTCACACTGCACCTTTAGATTTTCGCACACAAAGCACAGAAAGACTTCAAATGGAAACGGGGAGAATGGGATTAGCTTGATCTGATATTTGCAGCCCATATGCTTTGCAGCAGCTCGGGTATCAGAAATTGAGTTTGATGATGAAATAAACTGTACTGCTGGGGCAGAAGAAAACAGTAGAGTAAGCACAACACAGGTATAAGAAACATGCATACAGTGTTTATTTTGCAACCAGGACACATTAAATAAAACTACAAAGATACTTCACTTATACAAAAGATAGATTATATCCCATTCACATACAAAATAACAATAATTTACTGTATAAATTAAAATTTTCACTATTTTGCTATTTACAATTTGATGAAAACAATGTTTTGGCCTCTTGTGATGACTCAGGGCTTCTGGTGTTGTTTTCATGTTATCGAGCACTACAGGACATTCATATCAACAAAAACAGTTTTGGAGACAAGAAAAAGACTGTTTCCACCGCTCAGAAGACGGCGTGGAATTTTACGACTGACTGGAGGACCGGACAGAAAATGGAAGTTTGCATAATTCACCAGGCTATCCAAACAAATATGCCCTTGTTAGATTTTAACTGTCAGATTTCGTTAGCTTGTGTTTGACTTGAACGCGCATTAATTTCCCATTGCTCTCCGTTTCTCCCCTTCTTTCTACGCTTGGTCAGCTCTGAACATCACAGACCCAGGGGCATGTGCTCTTGTCTTGCAATAATTAACATGAGTTACAGTTGAGAGGACAGGCAAAACATAGCAGAGAGTAACATTTTAGAAAACTTCTGATTGGGAAACAAAAGTTATTCATCTTTTTACGGGTATTAAATTCTGTCTCAGTTCTCGAAAACCATAAATCTTTTGATTTGAATGTCACTGTAATGCTGTGTCATGCATAAAATATAACCTTTCTTTCAAGTGCTCAGGTTGCTGTACAAGTGCGTATTTTTTTTCCTTTTTTTGTCTTTTCACTGAAACAGAGCTGTAAGTGATTAAGTACCATTTCATCTTGTAAGCTGAACCAAAATTAAGTGCTTCAAAGTTAGGATCTTTTTTTATTTTTCTTTCCAGTGAGAAAATAACTCAGCGGCCATCTGCAGAAACCTTGAACATCCAGTCTCACATCAGGAAAGGCCAATTACTATGCCGTTGGTGCATTAGTAGATTCTGACCTTTCACAAGTAGTTAAAATGTCACAGAAAACCATTATAGCTGGAAACCTTCTGTCAGCTTGTGGATAGTACCTTGGGGTGCTTTTGGTTATATTTCTGTCTGACTATATTGTTCGCACTCAACCTTTTGGCCTGAAATCTATATGACAAGTAAAAGCTTGAAGGTCTGCAGCGTTCTGCAGAATTTAGACAATTTACTGGTATCAAAGATTAGAATTTTTTTTTTAAAAAAGCACTCCACCTTTGAGCTAAAGTAACACAAAAGAACTTTGACAAGTTGCTTAAATGCTTTGCCGAGACACAAAATGAAAGAGCAGTCATAAATATCATCATTCCCACACTGAATTACATAATATACAACAATATTCATCCCCCTGTAATCAAAAGACAACATAATGTGAACAATATGTTCAGTAAACGTCCAAGACTACACATAAGATACACAAATAAGAAACAAAAAAAGCCTTTTAAAGCCTCGTCTGTCATTATATGAAGAGTTCTATCCCAAAAGGCTAAGTGTGTCAAAGAAAATAAATCGACATCAACAAAATCGTGTTAAAAAAACAATGTAAAAGATCCCGTCTGAGATTAATGCTTTCAATCACTCCACAAGACCGGGAGGCATTTTTGACATTTAAGTGGCGGAAACCCTATTCTGGAATGAAACTCTTCATATCTACATGGATTTGTTAAAGAAGTGCAGACTTTTGTGAGGGACACCAGTCCACTTTGTGAAAGAAACAGATGTGCGGAACTGAGTCAAGGGAAGAGGAGATCCTTAAGGCACTTGAACAGCATCAAACCGGAAAGACTCCCACCCACAACCGAGCAGAAAAAGCCCTCAGATCTTCCCGAGCCTCCCTAAATGGCAGTTTGTGAGCAAACTGCACCAACCCCCCAACCCCCCAGCCAGCTAGCTACTTCTCCTCGCCACACAAATCCATGGGCGCTGAGTGAACGAGTGGGCGAACAAGCTCCCTTTCTCGCTGATCTTTTCATTTTGCGGCGACTGATTCGTCCCCAAAGTGCTGTCATATCTACCTTCCGTGTGACATTTCCGCGTCCTGTTTCCCTTTCCTCAGCAAGCCAGGTGTCACGTAAAACATGTATTTAAAAAAAACAACAAAAAAATATTAGCAGTTTGAATACAGAATTAAGAACACAAATGAATAAACAACTCTTTGGATGGGAGGATTCTGGATTTTGGCTGAAAATGTTCATCCGCATGAGGCAGTTAAGTTATTAAAAAAAACTGAAGTTTTACAGCATGTGTCATATGTGTATATGTATTAAAGACTCAGTTTCTTCATCCTCTCGTTGATGCTGATGAAGATTCGGCTGCCACTGAAACTGAACTGAGCTGATTTGTTTTTGCACTCCAGCTTTGTCATATTTTCACTAGTGAGCTTGCTGTCCAGAGGGGTTTTTGGAGGTATCTTGATTGGTAGGGTCATCCATGAGTGATGGAAACAGCTTCTTGTATGATAAAAGCATCTTTGAGATTTTCCTCTATCCAATCTTTTATTCTCCTCTCCAAGAGTGGAGTCTTACAGTCCTGCCTGCCCTCCCGCTCCTCTTCGGTGCTGAGCAGGTTAGGAGGGCGTGGCCACTTTGGCACACAGACCATTTAGTAGCATTCACTCAGTCAGTTGTCATTAGCCACTCAGTTGTTGGCTTGTTTGCTTAGCGCCTCAAAGAGTTTCATTGTCTGAGGGCCTGGCATCTGACGGCCCTTGAACAGAATAGTGGCGGGTGGCGGTACTGTTTGGTTAGATGGCAGGACGCAGCAGGAGCACTAGTTGCCCACCAGGGGGCTGAGGTCACCGTGGTGGTTCTTTAGCTTCTTCTTGAACAGGGAGATGGTAGAGGGGCGGTACAGGATGATCCAAGGCTCAGAAGACGCTGTGCTCTGGCTGCAGGTGTCTGAACCACTGACGGTTGGGATGTTTGGAGACCTGAGAGTAGAAATGAAGACAAAGTAAAGACAAAGAAAAGGAATTGCACAAAAGAGAGGGGAAAGGAGAAAAGATGGAAAACAATGAACAGAGATTAATAAAGAGAGTCACAAATGTGTCCTCGATTAATGTCACAGACAGATCCATTAAAACGGTGGTACTAAAGCTCTTGTGTAGGTTTTTACAATTTTTGGGTACTTGTTTAAAAGCCCTCAATATTTTTGGACTCAAAATTATTGTAATTAGTGGTAAACCTTGGCTTTAACTTAAACTTACTATATTTATTGCATTCGTTTTTTAAGGAAAATGGATCCATTTTCAGGGGAAAAATCTTTATATAAATGTTTCTGTGTTTTCACTGAAGGGAAAGGGAAACTATGTTCTACTGGAAGAAAATGTTTAAACAACGTCTTTTTCTTGTTTTTCAATTTTCTGTTCTGTTGATGCTAGGAGATTCTTTGATCGGAAAATTTCTGGCTTTAGTCAAAGTGAAAAAACAGACTTTTGCGGCTCCAGATAAAAATTCTTTACATAAGGACTTGTTCTTTCATCTTCAACCAGTATGGTATGAATATCGTGGCGTACGGGTAAAAGCTTGGAAACGTGATACTTGGCTGATCCGCCACGCCTCGAACATCCTCATACTTACTTGACTGTGACGTGCAGCAGCAGCTTTGCTACCATGGCGATGACAGTCAGTATGAGGAGAGCTGCTAAAGCGTAGATGGTCCACACTAGACAGAGAGCGGAGCACATTAACAAGACATCAGACATCCGATCACGGTAATTAAAACAAACCGCAGCAGACTGAAGAGATTAGCGAGTCAAGAACTATTCAAGCGCTGCTTAATTCAAACTTACACCTGTGAGAAGTTCAGTCAGCTAATTGTCAAGAAATGGCGATACATTATCAGTGCACATCTGTTATCAGCTAGCTGTTTGAGAAAAAGAATTAGGGCTTGGAAAGAATAACATTTGGAGGAAGCAGAAAAGCGCAGAGCACATCAGTCCACCCTGCAAAGTGTTGACTAGATGGCTGATTGGCAAAGTGGGGACTTCTGAGACAATGACAAGTGAAAACAAGCGTCATGTGGCATTACTTCAATTATGATCATAGGGAGTCACTCTGGGCCAGAGCTTCTAGCAGTATCTCGACAAACCAGAACAATTTTCAAACTTTCAGAGAAACCAGGTCATGCTAAGTGGGAGTTCTTGCTAAGAAACCTCCAACAGCATCCCAGCAGAGGCAGAGAGAGGCGCGGTAAGTGCAGTGTACGACGGATGTTAACATACTAGCGCTGTGGCCGGTGGTCTCGCCGCGTCCAGCCCACTGACCTGGCATGTTGTGCTCCGGTTTACCGGGGCTGGACGTGATCACGTAGAGGATCTGGGACGAACGTCCATTCGTCGTACCGTTAGATTTCTCTGTGACTCCGCCAGCCAGCTGGGGCCCTGCTGTGCTAGACACGTCTTCGTTTTCCTCCTCGTCATCTCGTTCAGACTCTATTGTTCTGGTGTCCTGGCTTTGAAGCGCTCCTTCAGACTCTATTGTTCTAGTGTCCTGGCTTCGGAGTGCTGGGGGGAAAAAGAAACAGACAGTTGAATGTTATTCCTTAAACTATCAGGTGGAGACATGGAACAAATCAAAAGCTTACTATCCCACAGCACCAAGTTGATCTGGTTGTTTCAGTGACTAAAAGATTACTTTGTCAGGTGTGGTGCTAAGAATATTCAATTCTGATGTGAAGTGTCTCACAGCACTGGCATTTCCAAAGAAAACTGCAACTTTCCAACTATTCAGACATAAATGATTGTCCTGTCCTTGAGGTATAAGCAGAGACGTCAACTTTAACAGCAATAAAACTAGTTCTCAGTCCCAAAAGAAAATAATGCATGAATACAATACAACAACATTACTTCCATCCTTTTTCTTAACTGCTTATCCACCTTGGGTCATGGGGAGGCTGGAATACAACCCAGATGACTTTGGTCAAGAGGTAAATTACACCTAGGACAGGTTACCACTTCACCACAGGAGGCAGACAATCACCAGTTAACCTAACACACAAGTCTTTAAACTGTGGCAGAAACTGCAGCACCTGAAACGAACTAACACATCCTCAGGGAGAAGATATAAACTCAGACAGGATTAATATGGACTCAGTGGCCAATATTTATCTCCTCTCTCACATTCTGTCTCACGACGAGTTAAAAACGTTAAAATATCGCTCCCTGCCATATTATAACAGCACACCTGTCTGTAAACTGACACTTTCCCCCCCAGTTTTTAGGTAATGCATCAGTTTTTGTCAGGGAGAATAATGATTGCATGCTCTTTGTGGTAAAAACTAATTTCATTCAGGACCACTATAGCCAGAAGAGCACTGGGATTTCAATATCCAGTTTTCAGTTGATGACCAGCTCAATTCTGCGACCTTCCCATCCATTCATGTGCTTACATTTAAAGCCAGAGGAGGGCAGGGTGGAGCAACTAAATGCAGAACAACACAGCAGGGATCAATGATAACACATGACATATTACACTGATATGACATTGATAATGTTAGGTACAGAATGAAAAAGGGTGGAAAGCGGGTTGCAAAGCTGCTTGCACCTGTGTAGCAACTGTAGGAAGACTGAATAAGTCCAATATTGAAGGTGAATAAGGGTATCAGCTGACACTGAGATCAGCTGATCTGCTAGGACTGTGACTAAGCTTGAGTTTTGGCCTGTCTGAACTAAATCACTGTGCTGAATTTGTTCGACACAGTGATTTCTGATCACGCTACTGCTGTTTTGCACACTGATGAGCTCTTTTTGATATAATACAAATCTGATCTGACGCATTTAATTTGTCAGTAGCAACAAAACAAGCAACGTTAACGGAAGGCAGATCACATCTCGCTATATCAGCGAGTTTTTATGAAGTCCTCCATCATTTGCATTTAATCATTTGTGAAAATGTCACCCTTTAGCCACAATAAGAAAAGGCTAGAAGGAGCTTTTGATAAGATAGGAGAGGAAAACGACTTTCATTATTCAAGAAAATCTTTTATTCATCTGGAAATATATAAATCATTTATCAGTTTTAGTAGTAAAATTACTCCTTGGTTGTTATTATAACTTAGCTTTACTGCCCTTACTAGATTACAGCTCTGTGTAATGTAACATCCCGTGTCTTCACAATGAAGTGATGAATGTAGCGTCGAATGCAGAAGAGGGAAATGTTATGCCATGTCACTGTAATTTCTACAAGTTAAGGGCATCGATCACTTAACACTCCTTTAATTATTCCATTGTATAAACTGGGCTGCAGCAAGCATGAGGTAATATTATACTACTTCATGCTGATCATGTTGTTGAAAGTATATACAGCAGAGGCACGAGTGAATATTTAATACTAACTGCATTTGTTAAGAAACAGATGGAGTTTGCAAAAACACCCAAGCGTGCTATAAACATGTGGTGCTGAGAACTTTTTTTTAAAATTCAAGACATGATTCAAAAAGTGTTTGCAATAAATTCTGTTTGCTTTAACCTGCTTACAGCTCCAGATGGGCAGAGTTTGCTTCATAAAACAACAGTGCCAGGGAGCATGGACTATTTCAGCTCATTTATGGGCTCCCAGAGGAAAGCAATATCCTAAATGAGATCTCCTCTGCCTTTCATTTACGTCTCCTAAACATAGTTGCGATTTATTTAAAATCACTGTGTGATTTTAAGAAATGTTCTCGTCCTCCGTGTGAAATGTTGCCGCTGAGAAACAAACTGTGCAGTGTTTCAGTCTCACACTGATATTTATGAGTGTCACTTGGGTCTTTTATTATTTTTCTTACATGTTAAGGTTTGAGTCATTATGCTGCAATTGTAATCATCATGTGCTTTACTTAGATGCTTAGAGCAGATGTCTGTGAATATCAGAAATTAGATTTAAAGAATTAAAACTTTTAGACACAGTCACAAAACATCAAAAGATTAAGCACACGTATGAAGAAACAGAATAAATGACTTAAGTTATAAATTGAGAAAAAACATTTTTTTTAAGCATATTTAACTTCAGGTGACTTAGTAAGGACCTAGCCATCTCTAACAATTTGAAACAGTCCAATGGAAATGATAGTTTCCACAACTCTCCACTGACTGCTCCATTGGCAGTGCAGAATAAACTTTCCAATATGTGAGTAATGGTCGAACCAAAAGCATATTTCATTCGGGAATACCAGTGTTCAACTGCAGAAATTTATATCTGGTGGCATGGATATGTTCTGGAGACTAATTAAGTCAGAAATAAAACACAAGCTGGGTTGCAAAGAGGCTTGCAGATATGCAGCAACTATGGGCTACGACAGCTGCTGGCATGTGGGTTGGGACTGGCGTCAACTTATTTGCTGGGAACTGCAGTTAAGCTTGACTTTGTGGCCTTCCAACTAACCAACTCAGGCTCAAGTTATTTTTTAAATACCCCAGTATGTTCAACAAATTATTAACTTTACATTAAACACATGACATGTACTGTGCAGTTCTTTTATATTGCTTCTCATGAATCTTCTGTACATTTATTTATCTTATTTCACATCACCTCGCCTCTTCCACTGCTGAGGTGCTTCGAGTTTCTCAGCTGCGTGAACTACTTTCAAATATCGATTATTCCAGGACTGTTCCACTCTTTTATGAATGCTGGTCAGATGTTAAACCAGCATGGGTTTTTTTTTTCTTTTTCACGTAATTGCTCAACCTGGCTGTGATGTTCCCAGAACTGCCCACATGTTTCCCATTTGCAAACAAAATGCCATGCTTCAAACCCAGTCACAGCTGAAATGTGCTGTCACTGTCATCTGAGAGCGTTTATCCTCAAATTACAGATCCAACCGCTCAGCCTGCCACCAAGGAGATATTAAACGTATATGGTGCTGACACTGTCTGCTTTCTATTTGTGCCTTAGTCACTATGTGTTTTTATCTATATAGTTCTGTTTGAAAAACAAAAAAACAACTACTTAATTCAGGAGGTGACCTTTTCTCATAACCCATCTCAGATTGCATTTCTGGAATAGACTATACCTCCCGCAAAACAAGATCCATGCCATGAGAAAGGATCGTGCCTGTCTGAGGGTCAGAGGATTTTGACCTTCCAATATTGTTTTTACTGTAATGCCAGCAGGCAAAGAAAAATGACACAGAATTACAGATGGAGGGAGAGAGGGAGGGGCGGCTGGAGACTGCCTCTTAATGTGAGCTTGAATGTCACCTACAGTGAATTATATCAGGGTGTGCTTTGCTCATTCCTGCAGAAATTAATCTATTAAATCATTTCTGGTGCTTTCAGACTATTCATGAGAGAACATAACACAAAAAAACAAGGTTTTTTTTATTCCACATGAATCCTTATACATTCTTTGCATTAGCCTGGGAGGAATAAAATTACTTTGAAGTCCTCTGAGCTGTAGTTTCTTAGAAATGCATCCACTAGACAATGAAATCGGCATATCAGAAGCCGTAATGCACACGATGGTTGTATTTTTTATGTAGGTGGCATAAAAACTTTCAGTGCAATTTAGCAGAGAACACACTCTGGGTGAGCACTCTGCAGCAGCTTGATAAGAGACCGAGTTCCTAGAAAAACAGAACACATTTAAATATGCAATATCACCCGGGGCTGTGAGACATTGACTAGCAAATGAAAAGAGAAAAGGGCCTGCCAAAGCCATGACAACTGCCTAACCACAACTAACAGGTGTTGCTTTACTAAACTAGGGATGCTATGCAAAACTCTATCATAGTGCTAGCCAGCCAGCCAGCCACGCAAATGAGGGTTCTTACTTTGTTTGCAAAGTGTTATGAATGAAGGCAGGCTGAGCACAGAAGCTATAATGAAGGAAAACATCACAATAGGTGAGACATTTCAGAAAATCTGGTGAGCTCTCACCTTGGTAAAGAAGAGCAAATCCCTTGGCCTGGTTGGTTCGGTCAGAGTAGAAGTACAGTATGACAAAGTCGCCCGTGATGTTTACCAGATCCCGCGGAGGGCTTCGCCAGTCGAAGCGGGCCACCACTTGATTTGTGTAGCCATCCAATAGCTCCACCATGTCGGTCTGGTCGGAGATGTCAAAGAAGGTGAAATTGAAGAGGATGGCCGAAGATCCAGGGACCTGGATAGTCCAGTAGCAAACACGCCCAGCCCCGTATTTGTCAGGGAAGTCAGGGGAGTAGATCACTCCTGATGGAGAAGTGTAGTTCCCACCACAGGCCCCCACTCGGGCTGAAAAAAGAGCAGTAAAAAAATGCCTGTGTTATTCGTTTAAAGATTAAAAGTTGTGGAGATGGTTGACATCGGTACTTGTGATCATGCTGTACATGACTTTTTGTGATTGATCAGACACAAAGGACAGACATGTCCTTTGATTTTTAGCACCACAACAAAACACCATAGCTGTGGTATCTGATTTATTAAACTCAAGCTGATTTAGATTCAGAATTTAATTCAAAGTATCTTTACAAGATTCAGCCTAAAAACAGCCTGAAGAAGAATGTGGTTTAACTGAAGAGTATGTGAGTATTAAAAACAAGAAATAGGATTCACGCATAACCAGCAACAAAGCTTCTGGAAAATGAGCCTAACTGGACATAACATATGAATAAATGTTATGCAAGAAACATGTTTTTGAATGGACCAAAAAAACCTTTTCAGGAGACTGAAATATAGGTGGTCTGAGAGAAAACTAGACTGCTGAGCCTTTGGGCTTTAATTTCAGGCTGTACAAAACCTGATCTTTGATAGCAGATTTTGTCAGTCAAAAGTCTTTTCAGAGCAGATCCTGTCTTTGATGGCATGGCGGTATGGGTTTAGAATAAAGAAGAGCTAGCTGCAGGCAGGGTTACTAATTTTAAAATTGTAGGTGTGTTGTGTTCTGACTTCTTACAGCTTTACGATGATAAAAGAAATGAGCTGTCCCCAAATCAGATTTGTACAAAATAAAACTAGACTAAATGTTTGAAAATGTATGTGAAATTACAGCAGAGATGTGAAAAGACTAAAGAATGAGATCAAGAATGACAACTGTCAGTGCTCACTGCTGAATATGATGACCCAGCCGTCTCCGCCGCAGGGCTGAGTGTGGTCACCGAAGCAAACATGGTTACACTCCATGCTAGGTGACTCCCCACGTTTCTGTAGGTCCACATCGTTGCCACAGAAACAGGCATATCCTGACTCCATACCAGCAAGCTGCAAAACAGAAAAAGGAGTTGTGCAACTGAGGAAAACACTGAGGGGGTCATTCTGCTGACTGCAAACACACATTCTTTCAGTTCTCTCAAACTATAAAGATTGTTGTTTTCCCATAAAATAAGACTTGATTACATTACATTTTTTCATTTTAAAAGGACCAATTATGTTTTTCATGTTCGATTTATGTGGAATTGTGTAAACGTGGGGTAAACAGTTGACTACATGTAGCTACTTCCCTCTGAAATAAGTGACTCGAGCCTAAAGCGCCCTAATTGCTCTTTCTCTCGTGATTACAAGATGTTGTAATCCGAGTCTGTATAACTGTGGCCTCTCAGCTGATTAGAAGACTCCCTTCAAACACGCAGCTGCACACGGGGTGTACAGAAGAAACGGTACAGGAATAACACCTATCTGTCTTTCAAATCAAAACTGTTAGTAAACCATTCCAGAAAGTGTCAGCGCAGGAATGTGACACGTCAAAAACCTTCACACATCTTGACCTCGCCACTGCTGGCCACTCGCTGTCAAAAGAGGTATTGTTCTTCATTCAGAAGGACGCCGTTGTTCGATATTCAGGCTCTAAACGAACACACGCAACTGAAGGTACTGGATAATTTCCTACTCATGGAATAAGAATTCACGCAGCCTCTGCTTCCACCCAGATGTATCAAGCTCCTTGTTGTATTATTCTATCTGATGCGGTTAAATTTGAGAACACGTACACAAATACTTTTGGCAGAGTAAACAAGCCATGGATTGCTGTCTCACTCATCAGGCATGCTCTCTGTCACAAAGTCACGTGGGATCCATATTTCAGAGCACTGATGTTTCACGTGTGTATTGAGGACAGTGACAGTCCAAGGGTAGGCAGATGATGCCAGTCTGTTGCCATTTCCTGTAACATCTGCCTAACTGAGAGGGGAGGGGGTGCCTGTCAGTATCTGTCAATGCATACTGAGCTGAAGTGGATCTGCTGAGACAGAAAATTAACACCTGGCACTGTTTGTAGCAGGGACAATGGCACGCCAGAAACAGAGAGAAGGGAAAATGCAGTGAAGAGGAGGAACCCAGTGGGCTAATAACCATTCATTTCCAGCTGTCAGCCTTGATTATTGTGATGATTCGTCATCTGCTGGTTGGCTTCAAACAGGAAGTGTGATGGCTGAATAAAGAGGGCATCATCTAGATAACTGACAGAAAACTACCCATAAAAGCAGATGATTTGCATAAAAGCCTGACTACTGCAAAAAGACTGCTCACGCCTGTTTTAAAAACAACAATTTACTCTGTTTTTACATCCAATAGGTAGATTTGAAGTGATAGGACAGAGGATAAACCATAAACCAATTACGGTTTGTTTTCCTCTTTTATTTTGGATTTTTTTTTTACATTTAGTTTTACAGAACTTGTCATGTTTGATTGCAGTTGAAATAAAATTTCTCATGTTTTCTTGTTATTTAATATATTTTTAATTTAATTCCAAATCTCACCTTGTATCTTTGCTTCCTGCAGAAGCTGATACAGTTTTGGATAGTGAGTTTGTTGGAGGTCTCACTGGCACCAGTCAGGGTGGGGGGGTCACCACTGTCTCTGAAGCACCCCAAGTTTCCAGGCACTGTAGGGAGAGCAGACCAGAGTGGGAAAAAATGATTAGTTATATGCTGCATCTTAGATGCAGTCTGCATCACACAGTAAGGCGAGGTTTTCACATGATTAGGGAAGATCAAATGTATAATGGAATTAAAGTACAGCAGGTGTTAGAAACAAGTCGACAGATATGGAAAGAAATGGATTATTTCATACAGAACATGCTTCAAACTATATTTACATGGTCTATATGCTGTTTCAATTTTCTAATCATGTTTGTGATTAACGCTTAATCTCAAAAACCCAGCCCAAAGAACAATCAGTGATGACACACTCGTCAAATATTCAGAACTCTGTTTGAAACTTCTAGCTTGAACTGCCAAGAAGCAAGCCAACTATTTGGCTTCTGAGAAAAAGAGAAGAGGAGGAGGAGGTGGCGAGCGGCAATGGAGGAAGAGGAGCAGAGAAAAGAAAAAGGGGTGAAGAGGACAAGGATGTTTAAGTCATAGCGACACAGAGCTGGAATTTAGAAAATGTACCATGTCAGATTTGAGAGCTGTTGCATCAGATTAGGAATATAACATTTTCTAAATGTGTGACTGTGTGTGTGTGTGTGTGTGTGTGTGTGTGTGTGTGTGTGTGTGTGTGTGTGAGAGAGAGAGAGAGAGAGAGAGAGAGAGAGAGAGAGAGAGAAAATAATTTTTTAAAGTCTCACGTACAAAGAAAAAAAAAAGGGGGGGGGGGGGTTCCCATGTGGAATTTGTCACATGACAGGAAGAAGACCAAGTCCAACACCTGGGCCTTTATTAAACTCAGATTTATTAAACTCAGTATTTTTGTAAAACACAAAAATTAAGAGCAGCATTAGTTTTGGCACGTTCCAAAATTAAGCTTTGCCAGCAATCATTGTGTATAAACTTGCAACAGCTGATTACAACACCCTTCAGTAAAGTGCACAATATTTCTGTTGCTTTAGTTGTTCAGCACTGTCTTCAGTCAGTCCTGCCTCTGCAAGCCAATTTGCAACCCATCTCTAAACCAACTCCTCATTTTTATCCTATGTCTGACTTTTTCCCAGTCATTGCCATCTATGCCTGTTTTATTTCTACACATAAACAGCATAGATGGCTAATAAAGTCTATTTAGGAAGACCCAAGCTAAGTGTTTTTGTCATTGATCAAACTGTGAAAATGCATGAATATTGGCTACATTTCATTGACAAGTTGCTAAGTGGATAATCTTTAAAAAATGACCTTTATCTTTTGAATATGACTTAAAGCTAATGATTACAAACCACAAGATAGTGTTTACTAAAATTATAGATTACAGAAATCACATCACTCTTATGCTGGTTTCACTTTTCATATGAGGAGGCTGAAATCCTATTCATAAATCAGTTGTCCTGACGGACATGTTATAAAAAAATATAATACTTCTGTGCTTTTACACTCAGACAGGCTTAAGCTGAACAATAGATCTTTGCACAGCAGCCACTTGACATCAAACAGTAGGTAAGCACAATTTCTAATCTCGTGAATTTAGGCTCTTTGACTAAACAGAACAGAACCGACACTAAAAACATTACTTTTGAATTATTTTGTTGATACTTTGATGATAGCCTCTCATGTGCACCAAAAAGTTTCTCTGCATGCAAGTTAGATTTTACAATATGTGAGACCAATGCGCCAACAATGCCAGATGGATTTCTAACCAGACAGATAGATGAAAGATGGATGTTGACACCTTTCCAGATCACATTCGTGCAGATGAATCAAACTGTCTGCCCTAATCCACTATGTATTCATCAAATACTATACAATCTTTCAAAATCTAGTACAGTGATTAAACGCTGCAAAGCTTTTAAATTCAATGTAATAGCTTGGGAAGTGCCAATAAAGCCTCCAGCAATCTATATCCTATTTGTGATTTGCTTTTCATTTAAATCCAAATGCGCTTAAAGTTGTTTATTTTGATGTTCAGAGCTAAAATGAATTTGACAAACATAAGTAAATGCACACCCTGAAAGTAATTTCAACGGGAAGTTGAAAAAAAATTCTCTTCAGTGTAATTGGAAGTGGTGTCATGTGGCCTTAGGGTGTGAAAGAGATCATTAGGGAACGATAGAAAAGACAAGAGCAAAGACTGCGTCCAAAATAGCTGTCAAGTCTGCTGTGAGATACAACAAGGACGCAAAAATCAAAAGCATGTGACACTGTGGTCTGTATTAAAGCATTTACAATTTCCAATTTCAAATGACCTTTAGTAAAAACTCAAAGTCTGATTGCTCCTTATTTCATACAGTCATGAAAAAGCACAGTGGCTGAAATCCTATAACTGCAAATCAAACCGCTACACAAAGATCATTGTTAGATTTTTGTGTAATGCAGGACAATCATAGTTTGGAGATCAGCAACTTCCAGAAAAAACGCACATTCTCCAAAGGGTCAGCGATGTGAGATCAGATGCAAAGAGGGTGCTGCACCAAAAACCTCCGCAATTGCTTTGGTCAACTACCAGATTGATGCAGTTGATCTTAGTCTGCATGGAAGACGCTGAGTTGTCTGCAAAAAAAAAAAAGATGACTGCCAAGACACGACTTTTACTTTGAAAGCAAGTGTTTTGCTTTCGATTTGCGTCACGTTGTTCACAGTTTCGTTATCGCTTGGTAATGATTTGCAAACTGGTGACCACGGCAACCTGCTGGCAACCAAAGAAATCCCATAGAGGTTTTCTCTTTGTGAGTAATTTCACACTAGCAATTGCTAGTAACCGCTTGCTTACTGGTCACAGAATATACCCTTTTCCCTAGGGATTGGTGGTTACCACTGGGTCATTAACTGGTCTCTAGGCCTGCAAGAATGGGGCTTTTACATTCAATTTCACAGCAAATGCGAGCCACCACTCACACATTTATGGTCACTGATGGCCTGTGAGGCCTTAATAGCATTTGTATTGATTTTTTATTTATTTCTCTAATGACATGCAAATAGAATCCCACAGAGAACTCCCCGCTAGAGTTTCCTCACGAATTGAGAAGAGCGCAAGACGTTCATTTGATCCTAAGACATTACACAATAGCAATTCCTGTCTATTTGTACAACAACACTGTCTTGCTTTGCGGGTACACCAAAGTCTGACAACATGCTCAGACACTGTAAAGTCCCCTGATACTGTACACCAACACTGTCCTAGAAATAAGAATCTCTTGAGCTCTGCCTGTCATCAAACATGCAGGCACAGCTCGGCTGATGACAGTAAGTTCCACCAGTGCACAAGCAGTTCCCAGCACGAAACAGAAAAACACTTCATCTATTTTTACAAGCCTGTCATGAAATGTGGAATATATTGGTATTGTGCAAACAAAAAAGGGAGTATGGATTTGCATACAACTCTGTTTGAATGTTTATAACATTACTACAGAAGAGCATCAATCAACTCTGCCTTCATGAACTGAAGTGACCCTAATAAAGACCACACATGTGCATTGTCACTGGCGTGCCAGCTGCTGCCAAAGTTAACTTATTGGCTTGCACAAAGCACCAACAGAATCTGTAGATTCTCTCTGTTTGAGGCACAAAGACTCTTTGGGGAAAAAGTGTGACATGTTTTAGATTCTTCACAAATTGTTGTCCACAAGAATGTCCCCCACAGACTGGAAAATGAAGACGAATAGAAAGAAAAATGGTGCCGAAACAGACTGGCAGAGAGACAGCCACTCCCTGCATTTCGCTCACATTTGATGACCGTTAAGTGACCGGCGAAATTCTGGCAGCAGCCAAGAACTGTGTTTGACAAATGACTCAACACTTGAAGACAAAGTCCTCAGACACACTCAGACCAGCAATAAATCATGTGCTATATTCCTTTTTCAGCCACAAACATGCCAGAGCTTTAGAAGAGATTAATGTGGTTGGTTGGGATGGGGGGATCATTTACTAAGACTCCACGGTGCACACTTGCAAAAGTAAGCACCAGATTATTTGACAGGTTAAAGGCAAACATGACAGTTATAAGAATGTTTGAGGTCTCTCGTATTTTCCACGGTGCTATAGAAGCGGTTTCTTTTTTATCAGTTGCTTAAGTACACACTAGCGGTGAGGTGCACAACAGGGAAGCAGAGAAGAAAAGAGAGATAAACACCTGGTAGGGAACCAGCAACTTCCCTCCGAGCAAGGCAGGCAGGTACTACTTCAATAGAGGTTTTGAAAAGCAGAGGAAAAAATGCTACTGCTGTGCTCAGGAGCTAGATTAAAGGCACAAATGCTCTTTTTCAACTTGGCTTTGACAAGAAGATTGCAGACTAAACTTAATTTATCATTCTTTGTCCTCTTCTCGTTTTAGGGGCTGAGAAGTACTGGCTGAGGAGCGGTAGGTGTCCGGCTCATACACCGGTGCACTGGAGGTTTGTGCAGAACTGAAGACGGCGACAATCGCTTTTCTATGCACCGCCCTGCAGTGTGCATCCACAAAAAGCACAGAATTGTTCTTATATGAAAACTCCTGAGCACAGCAGCATCTCGCTTAAAAACATCTGCTTTGCAGGCGCAACAAGTGCAAATATCTTCACGTACAGTAAAAGAAAAAACACACACAAACACACTCAACACACTTCAAAGCCGTTGCTGGAATTTAGACTTTAACGAGCCAGAGGGGAGAAATGGAGGAAACACAAGGTGTATAAATGCTCCAGTTAGCCCACACCAGACCTCTGAAAACCCTGGGAGATCACAGTGGGGAAAGGGGGGGGACTTCTACAATGTTTAAAAAACCCAGCCACACTCATCCCAACCTGGCAGCCTCAGCTCACTAAAGAGCAGTCAGCCAGCTTTCCCACAATGCACTGCAGACAGGAGGCACTGGGCAAAGCTGCAAAGTTCATGGGTGTCTGTTTAACAGGAGGTCTTGCCAGGCAGCAGACACAACAGCACCACTGACCTAAAACACATGAGAGAAAAAGAAAAAAAAGCTCCAACACAGAATGATGACAAACAACATCAAACATGTGCAGCAGGCTTTGGCAAATGTGCT